ACTGGTTTTGCACATGGCAAAATATGGCCCCAAGTACTGTAGCTCGTGTTACAGCTACTGCCGCCAGGCAGTTAAGAAAGATTGCCAAATATTGCATTTTATGGCTTGAAAACTTTAAAAGAAGACTGAAATGCAAGGAAGACAGATTTACAAAGATGGCAGGGAAGGGAAGGGGTAAGCTGGAAAGAAACCAAGACAAGATGGTGAGAAGGAAAGGAGGGAATACAAGGGGAAGGCAGACAAATGGACCAGGCAGGAAACCAAGTGAAGGAAAAAGGTGAAAGAGGAAGCAAACAGTATGGTCAAGAAAGGGGCAGCGAGGGAATGGCAGAAAAAAGGGAAAAGAAAATCATGAAAAAGGAGCCAGTGGAGGAGGGGGGAAATGCAGAGCTCCTTTCTAAGAGATAAGGGAAAATAAATGGAGGCTGCTGCTTGAAGCAGCCAGCAGCAAAGTAACATATTACTGGGTGTGCATTTCAACAAGAAATGTACATTAGACGGGTAACAAATTACAGAGAGTTGTCTCCCCCCTGGGCAGAAATCACAGAAAGAATAACTGATATTCTCATAAGTCTTGTGATTTTGGGGTCTTTGGACAGGCAGAGTTGGAAACATATGGACTACAGAAGATCAGTATCCCCTCCTTGAGGGGCTCTGGCTTTGCCTCACCCATGTAGCTGTATATTCTTTTGATCACAGACATGAAATACAGAATTAAATTAAATTATTCTTTGGCTTTATTTTCTCCTGAAATTCAGCAGGATTTTGGAATCCCTCCATATAACACTCTTGTCTCTTTGTTTGCATGAAAACACTCCTAATTGCTGATTATACTTTTTGAATATAACCTTCACTGAAGATAATCAAAGAGGACACATGGATGCTGGACAGAGCTGTGCTCTTCTGTTTGGGTGTTCAGACTGAGATCATCCAAGTCAGCATGCAAATGCTCTAAGGTGGGCACTTACTCATCCTGCCAGAAGAGTTTGGTGCAATGGCTATTGGATTCCTATTTATATTCCATTAAAAAATACAGCAGTAAGCTTTTAGGGCTGCAGGGTCAAACTTTGAGGAGAAAGAAGATTCCCAGGCTAAGGCAGAATAACTCTTCTGGTCTTATATGCCTGTGCACTAAGACAGATTTTATTCAGAGGATCATGTGCAATTTTTGCAAGGGATCCCCTTATCATTCAATGCATTGAAGGGTTAGACATTACATTAAATCTTTCCAAAGAACTCTAATCCATAAAAATCCATCACAGAAAACATACTGAATGGCTGATATTTGGCAGTCAGGTGGCAGCCAGGCAGTAATGCTTTCTGCAGCTCTCCTGACTTTGTCTGGAAATTTCTAACTGCAATACTGTGAGGTAAAAGTACTTCTTTGTGCTGGTTTGGCAGAAATATGTAATGATGACTTACAATGTAGATTAGCTACCAACACAGCAGGTCATGTAATTAGCCTGGATGGCTTAATAAAAGGTAGTGCAGAGCCCCCATCAGCCCTTTCACGCTGGCTGGCGGTGGGTTGGAGGAGATTGTAGGGACAGCATGTGGCTGATCACGAACAGCACAACATGAATTCCCTCTCCACCACTTGCCTCACATGTAAAGACCACCCCCAGCCCTTGGGGACCAGCACCACATGCCTGAGGGTGACATGTGCTCAGAGCACCCATCCTAGGGTTTCACAGAGTGGGGTCATTTATGTTTTGATGACAAAGTGAGTAATGATCTTCGGGGCTTTGTTGGCAAAGCCTCTATGAATCCCCAGTAGCACTGCAGAGCAGGACAAAGGGAGAAAAGGGGAGCACCCTCCCACCCCCACAAACACCATGGGCTCTGCTGCCAGGAGAAAAAAACATTTCCAGTTCAATTGTCTTCCTCATGGCAAAGCTGAGATTCACATTAAGGGCATTTAAAAGTTATAAATCAAAGCATCCACAGTAGAACTTCAATTGGTCAAGATCAGCCTTTCCACACAGGCAGGCAAACAACCATCATGGTAAGCTCTAGTGCCTGCTTAAAGCCATCTTACCAAAGCAAGCACACAGCTGCATTTTCTTTCAAAATACTACTGTAGCCTTTTAAGAGAGCGGGGGAATAATCTAAATTCTGGCAGTGGAGAATATTTCACAAATCATATATGCTTTGGCACCAAGCCCTTAAAGCCAGAGGCCTTTACTCACAGGCTTTGCTGGGAGAGATCCACCCACCTCAAGTGGGATTAATTAAAAGAGGCATGTATCATGCAAATAGTTTCTGTTTCCTTACAGAAATATTCAGAGCACATAACCCAAAACAGCTTTAGAATCAGAGCGAAGCAAGGAAGAAAATTATTTCCTGCTCCCCTAAGTCTTTCCCTTTCCCTGTGCATTAAGGGAGGAACTGTGAGAAAACAGTGAGAGCTCGCTATTTCTGCACGATTCCTTTGATTTTAAGTTGAATATTATTATTCAACTAATAAAGTTGAAGAAAAAAGTTGTTTTTAAAGACAGGGGCTGTATCTCACTAAAAGGTGCCAAATTTTCCACACCAAACGTGTGCTAAGCTGCTCATTGGAAAAGGACAGTCCCAAGTCGTACCCCTTGAAAATGATCTTTTATCTTAAGGCAGAACAGGAGAAAATGGAAATCTTATATTTCTTTAGCATGTCAGGATTTTCAGCTCCACATGACAGGGCCTGCAAGAAAAAGCTCCTCTGGAGAGCAAGATAAACTTTAAAATACTACTTTCTTCTCAGGAAGCTGAACTATTTCCCTAGATAGGAGCGATCCCGACACTTCAAGGAATCACTGCAGAAAATGGTGATGGAGCAGTTCAAGCACAAAGCCCCAGTTCAAAAGTAAGTCACAAAAAAGCACAAGTTTCTACAAGAACTCTTCCTCAAAACACTTTTTTCCCCCTTTTCATATCTCAGACCCATTTTCTGAGTCAATTTCCTATGATCCTGCAAAGGCTGTTATTAAAACCAGACCAAGCGTAGCTGAAATTCCAGAGCTTAAAAGAAACATTTAATAGGCACAGGAGCTGGCCACACTGTCCCCCTCAGGTGATTTCCCCTGCAGCCCCTTCCCTGGGATTTCCTCCTTTGCAGTTTAGTCAGCAGGAGAAACCTGAAGTTTGGGCAGATCACCAAACCCTTCCTTCATTCTTCAGCAGTTGAGATTTTTTTTTTGTCCAAGGCTTACATAGCTCTAAAAAAGAGAACTAGGATCCAGCCCAGAAATGCATATTGCAGATGGTTTTTCCACAAAAATGTCAGGCAGTCACACATTCAATTATGTATCTAGCTACAGCATTTAAAAATCACTGACCTCCTTTATCCACCAGTGCTTTTCATACCACCAGTGGCAGTCCCGAACTGAGTCATTCACAGGCTGCTTACCCACGTGTCTTTTGTGCGCTAGAAAATTCCTTTCTGGTCTCCATCCCACCTATCACTTTGGCATGAAAGAGATGATCATCAGACATGCTCTTGGCAAGCCACCTCAGGAAAGCAGTGTCCATGCAAAACCCTGGCCGGGCAGGATGAAGGAGCCGTGCTGGCTGGCAAGGCGAGGGGAGAGGAGCCATGGTTCTCTCTGGCAGCACAACTGGCAGAACACTGGACCCCATCTCTGTCTCTAATCTGTGATTTACCCTCTGATGGCACAGAGGAAGCACCGGGGCCAGAGCCCTGTGGCCCAGCCCCAGGCTTTCCCACGAGGGAATGATTCTTGGGCTTCTTCCCTTCCAGCGCAAAGCTCAGAAAGGCAATTCCAGGTTTCTCCCCAATGACCCCTACTGCAAGCTACAGGATATCCACTAAGATGAAAGAGTGTGTTTTGTGGTTGGGCATTGATGCAACAACACCCTTTTCATAGTAAATACATAAAAATACTCCATTCCTTTGATATACCTCATTTATTTATTCTTTCTATTATAAGGGGTAATTATATTTGAAACACTAAGCCTCAAGTTTAAGTTACTGACAACTACAACAGATCTCATCTATTTAAAATAAAGTTTTTCTCCAAAGGTTCTCCTCTCAATTACCATTTTTAAAATTGAAAATGTGCACATTTTATTTTTGTTTCTATTTAACTGGTGGGTTTTTTTTTTTTCAAATCATGACTACTTTCAAAGTAACAGTTAATTTATCAAAAATGGAGAAACCCCTTTGTTCCAACATTGCCTAATCTGCCCAGCCCCTCATAATTTAAGAAGTTAATGAAGCCCTTGGAATCAGAGGTTTTCATATATATATATGTACATATGAGTGATTATGTGTATTACATCATTGTGAAAATAAACAGTAAGGACATTTTATCCATATAACCTATATAAAAAAACAGTTAATGCCATAGAAAATTATAAAATATGCAAAGCTACTTTAAAAAGTCCTGATAAATGCAAACCCCTGGGAAGAAAAGGAAACTATGTGCTGAAGAAAATCCTGTTCCTTAACTAATTGTTTTGTACCATATGATCTACACTATGGACTGTTTTCAACTGGCTGTAAATTACTGGCCCTGCGGGACAAGAATCAGACTCCTACCAGTTTGTTCCACTGGTTCTGCAAGGATTGCTCCTGTTCTACCCCAGAAGAGCCATTACTTCCTCTGGTGAGGATTCAGAATGGCAGAGGTGAGGACCTGCACCCCTGCACCACTTCTGGTGAAGGAGTAGGTGACCTCTCTCTCTCTCTCTCTGAACCCCTGTGTGGGTACAACACAACCAGAACTGGGGGTCTTAACGTAAGGAAATCAGTGTCTTCCAACTGACTGACTGGAATTTTTTTTTAAATGAAAAAAGTTTTCCTATCTTTTCAAAAAGTCATATTTGTGCTAAAAATTGGTTCCTCAAAACAGCTTTGACTCTCTGTAGGGAATGCCCAGTTTTGCTTTGCTACAAAATTCCCTCAACAATGGCACTCAGCTTTCCAACACAGTGCAGGGTCTGTCTGTTATGCCAGAGGGAGAGAACCATGCCACCACCAGGAAGATTACACATCTTACCTTGGGACACTGGGAGGAGCCCGGGTGGGCCGGGAGGGAACCTGGGGAGGTCCTCCATGGGCTTCTCCAGCACTTGGGAATGGAGGAAGTGGTCCTGGGCGGAACGGGACCGGGGGAGCCCCCGACTGAGGGCCTGGAGATGGGATTGCAGGAGCTGGTCCTCGGCCAGATAAAGGTCTGGTTGGGGGATTGTTTAATGTCGGTCTCCTTGGAGTTGAGGGACTTGGAGGAGGTGATCTAGTGAAATAACAGAGATTTTAAAAGTTCATTAAGGTGGGGGTTTGTTTGTTATATTTGTTTTATTTTACTTTAAACAGAAGTTAAAATGTTTTTTATGCCTATGGCATCTGTTTTTTCTGGGCATTTTCCTTTGCTGTCAGTGTCAGAGGATCACATATAATTAAGTCCCACACTTTTCCCATTGACAACATATAAGCAAAGAGGTAAACATAATAGATTTTATTATTCAAGTTCTAAGAATGTGTTGTTAAGTGGGTTTTCTAGGACATAGAGCCTGAGATGCTGAATTATTGTAACAGCTTGCAAGAGGCCTTGTGGATGTACAACTGGCGTGACAGAAGCAGCTGCTATTTGAAGCATCAGAAAAGCTACAAGTCCACTGGATGGTCTCCTACAAGGCAGATATTCCTGTCTGGTGTCACATACATATCCACAGAAGACATATATGTGGGAAAATGTTTTGATTTCCCTCACAGATGTCATTAAAGACCTGGAGAAGCATCTTTCCAAAAAGACAGGCAGGGAGGGAGCTACTGATACTGACTCCGTCTGCCTGCCCTGAATTCCATGGCAATACAGATTGGAGGCTCCTCACCTGCGGGCCTGCTGAAGCCACGAGTCATCCACGGGAGGGGGAGCAGGGGTTGAGACAGTGCTAGTGCTGATGTCCCCAATGATTGCCAGGGCTTCCTTCAGTGCCTGGTACATGCGGAGCGTCTCATCCCGGTGCTGCGCCTGCTCAGCCGACTCCTCCATCAGAGTGTTTTGGTCCTCAGAAGAATACAAGTGAGCCAGGAGCTCTGCGTTGATAAATTCTTTTACCTATTTCATCAGAAAAACAAAACAAAACAAAACAAAAAAACCCCAAACCACCAAAGAAATAAACAAACAAAATCTCTGTGGGAAATACAACACCAAACAAATACAGTGGAGACAGACATACCTCAATTTAACCAGTTTCTCCTAGTTTTCACCAATTCTACTGCTCATGCAGCTTTTGTTAGGTTGCATCAGGGACTGAAAGATGCAGAGCTCAGACTGAGCTGATGGTGCAGCAGCCTAAAGTCTAGCTGTGTCCCAAGGAAAGGCTGGCACATGCACCTGGGCCCCGCAGCTGGAAAAGGATGGACTGGACCTTTTAGCAGCTGCCTGGACACAGATGGGCTTATGGCAATTACAGAGCCACATTCTGAGACAGCAGTTCACATCTGACAATGAGATGGTTTTGTGTAGTCGCTCCACAGTGCACTGGGGCCTTTTTTTGGGTCTGTCTATGAAACACTAGACATGGTTGGAGCTAACTCTGTTCTACATCTCTAAGGTGACATCTATGTTTACATTTCATTTCAAACAGGCTTCCCAACAGCTCCCAGGAGTCAGCTGGCATTTTGGTCCAATTCTAAATGGCTGACTGAGAGGTAAATGACAGTACCATCAGATATAGATTCCCCATGGAATTAGAATTTTCAGGCTTTATAACATCTGTGTCACTTATTTTCTTAGCAACAATTTACCCTACTGTAGACACTGTCTTTCATTTCCAACAACTCTGTCAGATTCTGAATATCTCATCCACACACACTCCAACTGAAGGGAGAAGTCTCCAAGTAATCTAATTTACTATACTGATTTCCTGCTATGCCTGCCCTGGTTATGGAAACCTGGGCCACATTAAGAGACATAAAAAGCTAGAGGTACTCTGATTAAATAAGACTGTGGTAAATAGACCAACTGCTGACCTACTAAATCCTTGCATTTGAGACTTTGGTTGCTGTTCTGATCTATTTCTCATCTGGTGCTTTGCTCTATAAAACTTTTTTGAGCTGGAGATACTGACAATAATACATTCCCAGGATTCTGATTACATAAACCTGAGCTCCGTTTGTGCTAGTTTAGCAATGCTGATTTAAATCCTGACAGCGAGACTAAGGCACTGTTTGTGTTCAGGAGAGGTCAGTGAGAGCAGTGAGGCTGTTCAGGCCAGGGACCCTTTCTGGTCACCCAGCAATGAGAAGGCGGCCAGGACAGACCTCACAGGGAAACAAAACCATATTGCCTGGGCTTGGCTGTCATTCCCCATTCACGTATGACAGGAGATGCACAAATTATTAGCAAAGCCTGCAAAAATTTTCCATGAGTTTCATGCTGTTTTCCAGTAGATGGTACTGATCAAGAGCCAGAGTACACTACTTTCCTCATGATTGCCAAAAACTCCACATTAAAAACAGATATCATAGTTAAACAGCATCACATTCTGCTCGATGAAATGAGCATTTTAATGGCATCACTTCAAAAAAAGAAGAAGAAGTCCTAAAATTAGATTAAGGCCAGAGCTGATTGTAAAAGCATTGTTAAACCACAAATATCTGTTTGAAAAAAATCAGCCTGTGACAATTATCATGAGAGGTCCCTGTCTGTTACTAGCAGGGGACTCAAGTAACTGCCTGAACCCCTCTGGAAGGGGAAGACTGCTGTGCTAAGGATGGTTCTTGGATCAGCCTCCTGCCCTCTGCAATCGGATGTGCTGTAATAGACAGAGGAAGATCATCCACAGTACCACTTTCTCCAGCTTGGAAATGGAAGGGAAAGTGATGCTTACTCACACCTTTGATCCTTTCTGGAAAACAGACTCACAGGAATGGTTTAAAACGTTTTCCTTCACAGACATGAGACCTGCAGTCAAAGTTGAACCACAGGAAGCATCCAAAACGCCAGTGCCCCAAAACTTGCCCTGTCACTCTGAAGTGGGGTAAGGTAGGCTTGTTACTTCATCAGTGAGAAGATTACATCACTGCCTCAAATGCAAACACAACCCATTCCTCACCCTTCAGTTTGGTAGTAACAAGTACTTTGGAGTCTTTCTACTCAGCTGAAATCACTACCAGCACTGCTTATGGAGCATACACTGTCTACTCTGAGACCACCCCTCAGAGAGGATACCAAGGATACCTGGGGACCATGAAATACAAACTGGAAATGTGTGTTTTGTTTGGGCATGTTTGAATTGCTAATGGTAACTCAATGCAGTTCTGTGTGGTAAAAGTATTTCTTTTAAGGTAATCAACATCCACCCTAAGGGAACAATAAGCAATGCATTTGGAATACAATAGTCTAGGTTTAGGCCTCAAAATATGCTCAGGGACAACATCTGATTATTTTCTGTACACTGAGTTTGAATCTGATACTTTCCTTGAATTTTAAGTGCTTGTTTACAGGCCCACAAAGTGGAAAGGAAGTTCTAGGAAAACTTGGGAGGTTAGAATTGTCATGGAAACAAACTCCTTGGGATCGATTTGTTTCCAGAGTTTTGGAGGCAACATGATGGGGCAGCAGAAAGTACAGAGTATGCTCATTAGGGGGGAAGGAGGGTGTTTTCACCTATCCTTGTGGATGTATTGGACTTCTGAAGACACCAAGGAACACACACACAACTTAAAAGGACCCACCTTCCATCACAGCTCCACAGCTTTCCAGGTCTCTGCACAACCTTTTGGCATGGCTCAGCAGTCTTAATTCAACCATTTCTTTCTCTTTTTAATAGCCCTGATTTTTTTAAATTGACATTTTAGCTATTTTTAATATAGTATTTTATTGCCTATGCTGTACAGAAACAAGTTCATTAGTGCTTCTAGCCCACTCTTCACAGTCCTTTAAAATGCTTTGATTCTTTGCCACCAATTTAAACTGCAGGATGGAGGGATAGGCCTGAGCTCACAAGGAAGCCCAAATGAGGCCAACTGAAAGGTAGCTGATGTTTTAAGCATGTTTTTTCTGCGTGCCATGGCCAGCCAGCATGGCAGGCTCTATCAATGTCACTAACAGCTGATGAGATTGAAAGTATAAAATCTTACAGTAATCTACTTCTGAGTAACACACACACTTCAGAGACCCTTAAACGATTCCATATGAGGAGGTGAGTGGCAGAAAATTTAATGAAAGGTTTCAAAAGGAACTGCTCACCGAGCTCTGCTGTTGATGAAATGAGAGCTAAAGCCCAGCCCTTTCAAAAGGCACTGGAGATGGGCTAAAGTCAAAGCAGCAGGTTGCTAGGGGTGATCTGGAAAGAGCAGTGAGAACACACTCACCTTAAAAAGTCAAGAGTGTGACTGATTTCTGGGGAAAAAGGCAGTTCTATTATTCCCATGTTTTTTGTAAAAACTCACCCATGGTTAGACTTGCAGCCTGACTCCTCTAAACCTAAAGAAGTTAATGAAATATCTCTTGCCCTCATGCAAAAATTCTACTTGTATTATATGTACCAGAAAATCCCACTGAAATTTTCTGTCCAACCACCTAACTCTTAAATGCAACACAAAGTCCACAGGGCTAATGAAATCCATCAGATGAAGGCTAGAGGTGGCTCTGAGTCAAAAGTAAATGCTGCCTTCTAACCAGATTTGCCTCACAGCATATTGTATTCCTAAAGACTGATTGGTTTGATGACCTCACAGAAACGGTGCTACTCATAACTAGCAGGAGCTGTGCTCCCCATTAGTAATTTATATGGCAGCAGTGGCACTAATATTAAGCTTAGTTTTCAACAAGGTCCATTCAGAACTCTGCCAGGCAGCAAAGGCTGAGATCATACTGCAGTGGAATAACAACAGTATCTCAAAGCCATTTCTTTAAGCAAAGAATCTTCAAATCTAAGAAAGACACACACAATAAATCAACCAACCACATCTGCTTATCTAAACAGCACTGTCCGAGGTTTCTAGACTTATTCCTTTAAAATGGTAACCTGAAAATATAAAGAAACCCAAATAAAATAAGAACTACTTTACAAACCCATGACAAAAGGCTGTAGATTGAAAATCAAAGAAGCACAACTCTGCTTTGCTGCTCTCACAGACTGCCTAGATGGAGCTCCCAGTTTTCCTGTGCATTCTCCCTTTTTTTGGGGGCAACCCCCTCACCCCAAAACAACAAACAAGCCAACCCCAAACCAAGTGTGATGTACCTTTAAATAGTAATTTACATTCTGACTGAGATGTACATTAATTCAGTCTTTAGCATTTTGGGGGAAGCACTAAAGGCAGTGTGTCAGCCTTTGAGAAGGCTGCAGAACTTCTCAGTACTATGGAATATTGGAATATTTTGTCTAAGAGTGTGACATTTATGGGAGTGTGTTCTCTTTAGAACACACTGTTGCTGCTGCTGCATCCAAGAGGTGTGCTTGAGAGTAAGAGATTTGACAGACATGTTGAAATAATTTAGAACCCTGGCTGCTACTTACGTTATTGATCATAAGATGCATGATTGTTTTCGGTATCAAATCTCGGATACATTTGTTAATAATAGACATGTAGGAGTCCACAAGGTTTCGAATTGTCTCCACCTGTCTCTCCAGCTGGGGGTCCATTGAAAAATTGTCTGCTTGGCCATTCTCCTCATTTTCAGTCTACACAAAAGAAAAATAAAAAGAAAAGTCAAGTCTTTCAGATTGCAGTAAACTGGAAATATACTGGGGAAAAAAACCCCTGGACTTAAACTGTAGCAATCCAGCAAAGTAACTCATACAAAGACTACCCAGAGGTTAAAATATAAAGTACTGGACTTTAACATTAATGTTCAGCATCATGAAATTAGGACATTTAAAGTTAATACCATATGAGACCTTTTGCACAAAGTACATTATATATTTCCAAACAAATATTAAAGAAAGTGTTCAAACAAAGACTTGTGGTGGTAAATGACACACTAAAAAATTATCACCTCAGATCACGTACTGCAAAACTTACTAACAAATCTTTTACCATTCAGATTCAGTCACTTGCTGCAAGAAAGCAGCACCCTAAGTCTGGATTTTGAATTGTACCCCCCTATGGGTAAAATCCACCCGTGTTACTTAAGGCTGACTTGTTTCTGACAAATTCCATAGTTCAGCCTCAAACCTGTTGGGTGAGAATAGCACCTACATAAACAAAGGATTTATGAAGGATAACAGCAAAAGCATCAGTGGTTCCAGTGCTCAAGGCTCAGCATAACATTTGCTGGATTATATATTAGAGGTCTCTTTTTCATTGGACAGAAAAACACTTCTTTGTATGTAAACAGCTGAGCTAATGAAAGAAAATACCAAGAACTTTAACTAGAAGCTAAAAAGCCTGTACTTTGCTCCAGTCTGGCCTGTATAAATATAAGAAAACCTAAAAAAATAATAGTAGCCTTTTGGTGAAAAGCAAACTGCTTTCTGAGGTTCAAAGATGCCAAAAGAAAGGAATTTCTACCCAGAAAGTACAAAGAACAATGCTCCCCAAACTCTGACATATAATACTTCTCCCTGAAAATGACCGCCAGAGCCTTGGTACCTTGAACTATAAAATCTAAACCTGTTCTGTGGATACCTGGAAGCATAAAAATCATAGAATCCCAGAAGGGTTTGGGTTGGAAGGGATCTTAAAGCTCACCTCGTTCCTGCCACGGGCAGATTCCTGCAGGCACCCACTTCCACTAGCCCAGGTTGCTCAGTGCCCCATCCAACCCGGCTTTGAAAGAGAAAGTACTTGCAAAACTGAAGAACCCAATAAGGACAACTAGTTATGTATCAGCCAAAGCCCTACCAGCACAGCTCCGTTTACAGTGGAGTGTTTAGCTAAAATCTGCATATCTCTGGTGCTTTAGAGAATCCTGGAGCAGCTGAAATGAGTACCTCACCCATCAGTGAAAGGCCACTAGAGCTAGATATGCAAACATCACCAAAGAGGCTTCTCCTTGCATGAAATGCCTTCTTACTAGGCCAAAAAGGGATTTCTGGTTTCATCTCCTAATGCAGGGCCAGTTTCTGCTCATTTAGCAGTTCGTATCTACTCCTTTTAAACTACATCTTGGTCAGTCCAGTCTAAATGAAATGGGATGTTTGTGCTTTGTTAAGTTAGAGTTTTGTACCATTTAGAAACAAAACCAAGTGATGGCAAAAGAAGTTTCAAAAGTACAGGTGAACTTCTGAAAGAACAGATAATCTTTAAAAATAATTAGCAATGCTTCCTAAAAATCTTGGGACTGTGGAGGACACTGAAAGAACTCTTGATGAAAATAGGGTTTTCTATGCTGTAACACCAGTAGACACATACCTAATAAACCTTAATAATTTTGTTAATAAACTGTATATGCCAAAAAGTCACAAAGTGCAGACTGAGTATCTTCCTCAGTCTCTATGTCTGAAAAGGAACTAATGTTAAGTTTCCCTGTGACATATCAAATAAATGGAAAATCATACATCTGTCATATATCTGCAGATTTTAGCCAAGCAAACCAAAAATGGCCCCTTCCCAGTTTCCCTGAATTTGACTTCTATTCTCTTTCTTCTTCACTATATAAAGTGCAGTTTGTTCATGTATCTTTTTTTTTGGTTTTTTTCACTGTTTAAATTACAGATTGCAGTAAGATTTGTAGCTGGCTAAGCAGCAAAGTGACAGATGTTTATCATTATCCTCATCAAGAGAATGTAAAGTAAAAATAGTAATTTGTCTCTGATCTTTAAGGCAAAGGGTAATAGCCTCTTGTTTGAAACTGTAACAGAACTGACTTCATACTGTTGATTTATTTTCTCTGAAATCAAAAAAGATCAATCTTCCACGAGTTTACAGTAATTTATTATGAAAGTTTCTGGCCATAGTATTCTAATGATTTGATGTCTCAACTGAAGGCTTTTCATGCCAGAAACCATCTTGTTTGCATCGCATCAAGCAGATGGAAATCTGCTTCCAGCAGATTTCTGTGCCCTGCAGTACAACTACAGGCTTTCTTTGGTGAGCTGCCCCTGCATTGTGCCAACGGCAGCATCCATAAATGAGGTTGCTTAGTAAAGCCAGGCATCACAAGGAATAGAGACGTCCTATTCCATCTCCAGGCCATTCTTTGACAACAGCTGTTTTCTCACTGAGCACCACAGTGACCCCAGGTTCAGTGCAAGCCACCCCTCAGCCCAAGACCCTGTCCCTCTGCATTCTGGAAAGGCTCCTGAGAGTCTGCTGCAAGGGATAAACCCACACCAGAACCCATCAGCTACATCCCACATCTCTCTGCCTGCAGCTGAACAGAATGGTCAAGCTGAGCAGGAAAGGAGAATGAAAAAGTGGAAACAGGTTTCTGTGCCTCCTTTCCCAACAGCCAGGGCAGCCCCAGTCCTTTCAGTGCTCCTCATCCTCCAGCCAAAACTTGCTAATTCCAACAGCAAGTGTTAAGTGACAGCATATGAATCTGGGCTAAGTTTTCAGTCAGTTGACTCTTGCTTAACACTGCTATTAATTGTTGACAGGAATGGAATATTATCACTTCAAACGAACACAACTGCAATTACTTTAGGGACCTTTGTAAGCCTCCAACAAAGAAACTACAGAAGAAGCTGGAGCACTAAAAAACAGGTGAGTAAAATAAATTCATCTTGGAAAACCCAAGTTCAGAATATCTGATGGAAACACACCAAAGCTACAGAGAAGCAACAGGTGAAAACACCACAGACCAAGGCAAGGTAACCCGGGAGCCAGGACGGTGCTTCCATTTATGTACACACCCCCACAGAGAGAAGGTCCTTCCCTTCTGCTCTCTGCACTTCAGAAGACTGAAAATAATATCCATTCCTCGCACACTGCTGTGGGTCTCACCTGTCTTTCAGATCTGCTCTGTGCTCCCTGCATGGAAAGGACTGAAACCCAAAGTACACACCACTGCTACTCTGCTGCTTTCCTGCATTTACACACTTTCTGCACTGAGAACGTGTTAAGGATTAACTAACGTGTCATACAAGAGCAGACTAAAAACTGCATGTGAAATCCAAACCACTTAAGTTTGTGGGAATTTTACTGCTGGCTGCAGTGGAAATAGGATTTCACCCTACACATGCATTTCTACTGGAAAAGTTTTCGATCTTCTGAAGACTGTAAACTCTCTGCTGCAACAGGAATGATTTAGTGCAGTGCAAAGGGATGTGGGCAGGAGGAATTGTGTGCATTTCCAAACAAAGGAGCAGCATCTTAGAATATCAGGATAATTTTCCTGACTGTAGAAATTATAAGCGTGTTGAAGAACGTCCCAAGAAAACGTAATGAAAAGTGATTCCTTTTAAAATTCACAGCAAAGCTGGGTAACATAGTGCAAACAGTCCTGAGCTGGCCACACAGAGAGTGCAATACTTCTAATTTCCATGATTTCATTACATTCAGGGCAGCTGCCAGCATATTTAAGAATGTCTTGTATAACATTCCTGATGTCAGTTCCAAGAAGGAGCATTTGTCTAGCGTTTTCATTAGAGAAGTGTATCAAGCAATTTTCTGTAATCAAAAAGGCATTCTACTAGGAATGACCAAGAGGAAGCAGACTGGAAGGTGAGTGACTCCAGGGTAAAAGCCAGAGCAGCAGCAAAGCAATTCTCTGTACACTAAGGAATACGTCCATGGCTTCAGTAAAAAATTGCTCATTTAAGAGCTGCTTTCGGATCTTTCATTTACAGATGCAAGTTCATAACAACAACCACCACCTGAGAATTTATTATTCTCTCCAGATTTTATTTATGCTTTAATTCACAGCTGCCGAATATAGAATCTGTTTCATCTATTCCTGTCCAAGAAATATTTTCTTTAATGCACGAACACTCAGCACACTGCAGTTGTCTTAAACCCCCCTGCTTTTTCCTAAATCTTTACATTGACTCTCTCTCCACTGCAGTTTGATGCTGCTGTATATATAATTTAGCTAAGATCCTCTCAGCTGTACATAGCGTGCCTTTTGCCAGAGGACTGCTGAAACCACATGATGGCTTCACACAGTGAGGTTTTCTTATTGGAAGGAACCACAAGTAAATGACAATACATTACTTTTGTGTATTTACAACAAAGCAAGCAGCAGAGAAAGAACACTTCCCCGGGTAGCTTGGAAGTTGTCCTTTTCCCTCACAGAGGGTGACTTTGCCACTCTCTTCCATGCTTTCAGCATCTTCTGACTTTGTATTGCTGTTCCCTTTACTGAGCCACCCACAGGCAGCCCCTTTCAGCTGTTAGGCTTTCATTAGCAGCCTTGAACTCCTCTAAGCAGAGGTTATGATCCAGCTTTCCCTCACACACACAATCTCTCTCACTTCATAACCCCTGAGAAGAATGATACACCCTAGGCTCAGTTTGATTCCCAAGTATTTAACTCTCTGGATTAGCTTAAACAATCATCTGCTCAGATTCTTCTCTGTGGTTACAGACATTGCATAGTACAGACCATTAGCTAAATCCTCCTGCTGAATCCCCATACTGCTCCCCAAGTACTTACATGGCTTTAGCCATCCCAAACATTGAGAATCTATGTCAGGCTCTCTTCCTGCCTTCTTCAATCAAGAAGCTGATTTGAAACTATGAGACTGAAAGGAATGATGTATTACCAGAACTCGAACAATCTGGAGTTACTTTCATCTTA